TAATTGCACAATAACCTTTATTTAAAAGATTATCCATAAGTGTTATAACAATACATGTAGCAACATAGTTATAATTATCATTTTTTATCTCTTCCCTCTTTCCTGGGTACTGTAAAAATAGTTTAGATTCTGCTAGAATAAAAGACTTAAAAAACCAAACCTTGCTTGTTTACTTTCCATAATATTAAAGACTCATTAATTGCAACATCGCACTAAAGTACAAAAAACTTTACAAAAACGTGTAAACACATATATATATATATATATATATATATATATATATATATATATATATATATATATATATATATATATATATATATATATATATATATATATATGTATTTTATCTCTTGTTTCTGGAGTCCACATTTTGAATCCAGACTTAGGCTTCAACTGCTTTTATTTTCAAGTTTGCAAGTTTTTCAATTCAACTATGTAGTCACAAATGTCATCAGTAACAAAGAATTCAAACAGTTTATGTGGTTCTAAGGAAGTTATATAAGGATGCATTCCTAGGGTACTATTAAGTTCATAACTATAGCAGTGACCTAAAATTTCATTATATATCCATGAATAGTCTATATTATCAATTTTTTTTTGTTTACTTGTTTTAAATAATCTTCTAAAGACATTTTATTACTCTCAACATTTGGAATTCATGAACTTTCAAATCTGGATCACTATTTGATTCGATATTTTGATTCACTTGAACAAAAAAAAGTCTTTCTCTGATTTTAAAAAATCTTCTTTTATTCCATCAAATGAATTACTTCTTCAGTAGTAAACATTTTTTTAAGAGCTAAAAATTGGACACAGATTGCTATTTTACTTGAGCCATTTTTTAGTTGAATTTTTACTTCAAATGAGAAGTTAGTAAAATATAAATAAATTAACGCAAAATACAGACTTTAAAGTTGAAATGTTTTTAGATCTCATCAAAAAATCTGAAGAAATCATCCATTTTTGCCTAAGATACAAGTCTTTAAAAAATACTCATTGATGTTTTCAAATTTTACTCAATGATGGCTATATCCATTGTTCACATCAGGGCTTTAGAGCTGGAGCCAGAACTATCTGGAGCTAGTGTTTACTTATATGTGAACATAAGCATCACTTTACCTTTGAGGGATATAGCTGTCAATCACTTTTAAAGGATATTTATTGTTAAAACACTAACAAAAAAATCAAACAATAAATATATCTCCTAATGTCTGCAAGTCTATGCACAGCGTGCCCAGAATGTAGTTTTTTGGAAAAAATTCATAAATTTGTTATTTTTTAATGAAATCTTTTGAAAATTTTAATATATATATACATTTTTGGGCTGAGAAATCTGATTCTGAAGTTAAATTTTATGTGTGTGCACTCTAACCCAGAGAATGGGGCAACGGTAGGGGAGGGGGAGGGGCGCCGAGAGTTATGCTCTTACTTTTTTCAAAATTTTCAAATAAACTATAAAGTATAAATTAAAAAATATATTTTTTTTTTTAAATTTGTCTTCCACCGCCCCCCGTCCCATATAACAAATAGCTCCTCCATCCCTGTGACTAGCAAGTTAATAGCTTGCAAGGTTGCTTAGAAAAGGATATTATATCCAATTCATAATGAAATATATTTGAGTTCATCATAGTTTGATATTAAACACAAATATACACAGATATTAGTCCTATCTATTTTTTATGGTCACATAAAACATTCTTGAATTATCATTTTTTCTTCATTAAGTACATTGTTCTTGTCTACTTTACACCCTCTTGTGGTATGTCCGAATTTTCCTTATGTTCCACATTGTAAAAGTCTTTTTTAACTGGCTATAATTGGATGTACCTTTATCATCAGTCTGCAGTAAATGTCATGTGTATTAATTTGCAAAGACATTTGTCTTGCTTTACAACTTGTTCCTGATTTATAAACCTTAATGTATTTATTCCAACTTTTGCCTGATTGCTCGGAGTACTTGGCAATGGATGATCCACCTATAATAAAAAATAGTTCCCAGGCATGTGCACACATTTGATGCAAGCTGGAGCTAAGCAAAGTCCATGGAAATGTCCCAGGCATGTGCAACCATGGAAATGTCTGTTTATGGAATATCATCAATCCATCTTCTTCAACTTTATCAGGATCAACCTTTTTGCTAATATCAACATGCTGATTAATGCTAAGGAGTATATTGAACTTAGATAACAAAGCCAAGAAGCTATCTTGGTCTTCTGTTTTAAGAATTACGAAACAAATAGACTTTCTTTCTTTTGGACTAAAAAAACGATCTGCTAATGGTCCATTGTTCGTATTACCACCACTAGAAGTAGAAGAATCAAGAAGCATTTCTGTTTTCTCATGTACATTTTTAATAACTTTTCTTTTTGCTGTCTTCAGAGCAATTTTTACCTTTATGTCCTGTTCAGACCATGTATGGGTTTGTTGGCCCACAATATGATATAACAACTTCAGACAGTGGTCAAGTGCACGTAGCTTTTGATGTAGAATGGCAAAAAATTTTACATCTGATTCAACTATAGGTTCATGGCATTGTCCATGTCTTTCAGTATCTTTGTAGGAGATTTCGCCATTTTCTAGTCTTCTCCAAGTACTGAGCATATCATTATAGTTTTTATCTATGGTAAACCCATGTAGTATACATACCAGGTCATTTGCATTATCTCTGGAACATTTGCAGTTGTGACAAAAAGCTCCAGAATCACCCACCAATAAATTTACCATTTTGCCATCAACCACACTGATCTCTGTTTTTACAAATATTTGCAAACCATTTTCTGAAAGAATAGGCGAAGTTTCATTTTTAGGCAGTTGGCTCAGAGTTGGTTTAAAATACTGTTTTACACTCTCCCTAGTTTCTTTTGCTTTCACTAGAATAACAGGCCTGGAAAAATTAATGGAGTTAGGGGTTGGATTAGTCCAGATAACTTGGTTTTTTGAATCTTTTATTTCAAGGGGACACCAAAAAGAACAAATATAATTTGTTCCTTTTAAGTCTGCATCTTGAGGATCGGAAAACTGATGACAATAGTTGTGATTTCCAGATCCATCAAGTCCAAATTTACCCTCTATATGTATAGAATGATTTTCAGCTCAAAACCCGGATATATCAAGTAGAGACTCAACAGTGTCTTTGATAACATTGTTTACAGAGGATGGAGTTTGTTTGTCATCACTACTCAATTCCTTTGGTAGCAAAGTACGTTTAAGGTATCTACATCATTCCTTGTTGGCAACATTAGTTTTGGGAGAAGCTCAAGTCTCAGCTTCTAGGGAAATATATGAAATTTAAACGTACAATTATAAAAATAATTACTTACAACAGCATTAGATTGCATGTTTCACCTGATATTTATTTATGAATAGATCCAAGTTATAGATTAAAGCAGTTGCTTCCTTTACTGATATTGTTGGAAGTTTTACTCTTCTTCCTTTCCCCATCTTTTTTCACATCTTTGGACAACTTCTTTTAAGTATTCTGACTTATCTACTCCCTGTTCACTTGCATGTTTTTCCACGATGTCCACAAAATTACTCAGAATTTTGTTGTAGGTACGTTTTTCAGGTTGACCGCTGAATTAAATAATAATGTGTTATGAAAAGTGAAAAAATAGCTACTGGGTGTCCCAAATAACATGATGCTTAAGAAATTCAAATATATGTCAACAACTAAACTTTTACCCTAGTCTTTTTGATTTCCATCCTCTTTTAGCTTGCGGAGCTCCCTCTTCTTCTACATCACTCCTGGATGACGATGATGCTGCAGGTAGATTCTCGGGCAGTTTTATCCCCACTTCGTTTCTCCAAATTTCCAATTTGGCCAAAAGTTTGTTTTGTTTCAACTTTAAATATTTTTTTACGTGTCTGTCAATTTGCTTTAAAATTTTCTTGATGTTATCTTTTTCATCTTCTATAGTTAGATTATATCTCACTTTGATTGTTTTTAAAATAAGCTTAGATTTTTAAAATGAACTTAATTTGATGTTCAAGGTTAGTAAAATCTCTTCTAATTCTCCTTTTATTATCAATAACATTTTGTCGCATGTTATCAACAGATATTCCTGAATCGTCCGTGAAAGTTGATTTTCATAATTACGCAACCTCGAATATCAACTCGTACGAACAATTAAATTTCAAATTTAAGTTACTCAATTTCCGGGGATAACCGGACTGTGAAATTTTAACACATAAAAATAGATAGTTTATATTTAATAAAACATTTGAGTTTATTTGCGGCCTCCTGCGGCCTTTTTTTTCCTGTTACTTTCTTTTTAATTAAAAAAATATATTTTCATATATTTTAGAATTTTTTTAGGTATAAACAAAACTGCACAAAAAAAATGTTTAAATTTTAGTTTTTATTTTTCATTAAGTAATTCACAAATTAAATATTATTCACAGACCAGGAAAGAAAATTTTTTTTAAATTTATGGAGTAGTTTTTAATGTATAGCGTTTCAAAGTTGTTGTTAAAAAACAGAATTGGTACAATTTTAAGACAAATATTTTGCGTCAATATTTTCTTCAACTTCAAACAGCTATAAAAACAAAATGGTTTGATGAATTTCAAAACTTTTTTTGCACTGACCAACATATGCCCTACACATTATAAAAATACTATTTTAAGTGGAAAAAAAAAAAAAGGTCAGAAAAAGAAATTTTTTCATGTCCTGGGCACACTGTGCTATGTATGCACACTTAATTTTGCATATCTCTACTACAGTCAATTTATAAGCAATCAGACAAAATAAGTAGGAATATACAATCTGTTTTGCTGACTTTCAAATCAAGGCGTCCTTGGGTTTGTTAAAAAATAGAAAATTTCTTTTAAAAAGATAAGACAAGTTGATTAAAGATTATTAATCAACTTGTTTGTTGATGTCTAGACAGTTATGCCAATTAGATTTTCCCAACAAGGGTATTCAAATTAGTTGTTATTTATTTAATAATAAATGTAATTTAAGTTTTCACTTTCATAATTTATGTTTTTTTATTTAGCTAACCATTTTAACAAGACTAAGAGTGCCATGTGTGATTCATATGTTCAATTTAACAATGTAAGTATTCATAAAGTAATTACATAACTTTTTATGAGAAACAGTTTATCTCTTTAGAATTTTGCTTACACGGTTATTGTCATACACAATAATTTGTACAACATTATTGCACATAATAAAGCATTTCAAATTAACAGAATACAGATTTTTGCATAGATTTTGTTTTTTATTGAAGAATAGCAAATAAAATCAGTATTTTTTTTTTTTATTTGAAAGAAACTGTTATGTGCTAAAAGCAGTTTATTTTTATAATAGCTAATAGCTTCCTCTCTCACAATAAATACTGATTTGGAATCTAATAACTTATCATAGAAACCATTTATTCAGTCAATTGCAAAAATTGCATCTGCTAATGTTACTTTTTTTTTATCTTGCTTGCCATTTTCATACTTCTCTTTCTACCTCTATAAATCTCTTATTTGTCCTTGTTAAAAACATATATATATATATATATATATATATATATATATATATATATATATATATATATATATATATATATATATATATATATATATATATATATATATATATATTTATATATATATATATATATATATATATATATATATATATATATATATATATATATATATATATATATATATATATATATATATATATGTATATATATATATATACATATATATATATATATATATATATATATATATATATATATATATATATATATATATATATATATATATATATATATAATATAATATATTAATAAATTTATATATATATATATATATATATATATATATATATATATATTATATCATATATTAATATATTATATAAAATAAAATACTTTTAAATAAACAATTTAAAAGTATTGATAAAATAAACAGACAAAATAAACTACTTATTAATAAAACTTTTTTGACAAAACATGATGAGCCATTTTTCACTTCTTTTAAAAAATATTATAGTTTTAATAAAAATATTATACTTTTTTAAGATTTCTAAATAAAAGTTAAAACTTTATGTTTTTTATGTTTTTTAACCTAAAGTATTCTTTGCTTTCACAACAAATACTTTGGTAAAGAGTTTTTATTTTTGCAATAAGTTTTATTTTGTATTTGTTACTTTTTAAAAATAAAAAATTGTTATTAGTTGCAAATCTGCAATTACAAGTTTAAGAAATTAAAAAAAAAAATTTAGCATCTTTTAATTCGCTTATAAAAGTAAATAAAAAAAGAAATAAGTTTATATTAAATATTAAAAATAAAATTGAAGTAAAATGTTCCATAATATATTTAGATAATGACATTTCTGCATTGTTTTTGTTAATTAACTTTTCCATTGAACTTGTTTGCTGTAATTTATTTTATGTTCGGTTTAAAAAAGTTTAAAAAAGTCCTTGAAATGTTAATAGAATTTTATAACATCAAATTCACAATATGCATTAGCAGTTTTTATTTAAAATGTCTTATGATGACAAAATAAAAAGATCAATAGTTAACATGAAGTTTAGCTTACCTTGCACAAGCCACTTTTAAATAGCTTATGTTTGAAGCTGTGGTATCAAAGAAGACTCCTTGAATGAACTGTTCAATATCAAAATTTGCTTTTAAGTTGCTGGACTGTTATCATGTTTCAGTCTAGTCTGCCATCTAGCTGGTTTTGTATGAAGTTTAAATCTTTTATCTTATCTGATTATAGACTTAACCTATCAGTCTTCCATACTATGTTCAAGAAGTGTAATGTCTACTTCAGCTTAAAAATTTTCTAAAAGTTTAATTGTATTTAGTTACAAGAAAAATTTACTTCATGCTAAATTACTTAAGTATTAGCTGTTGTTCCATACTTGTCATTGCATGGCTGACAACACGGGTTTCGAAGTGGAGGGGCACAATTGTTAATTTCTAAAAAAAAATTATCTATATCTAGAATTTTCTAAAATAAAAAGAGGGGGGGGCGGCCCAGGTTTCCTGGTGTTGTTGGCCCTGCATTGATTTCTGAATTTTATTTTCTGGTCTTAAGATAACCTATGTTAGTTTTGTTCTGCAATTTCTTTAATTAGAAATTGCAGAACAAAACTGTTATATTATGTACTTTTCTAAATATTTCTTTAAATGGTGTATTATCACTTTGCATTTTCACTGACCATTTTGTAGCCAGTCTTTCCATTAGTTATTTCCAAGGAAATAAGATTCAAGAAAAGATACAACTGGCATTTCATTTATATCTTTTCTTGAATCAAAATTCATTATTTTTTATGGATTTCAATCTATAAGGAATTCAGGTATATTAAAAAAATATGCTTATTATGTTGTTTTTACTATAGCTTTCATAAAACATGAAATAACTTTTCATTTTCTATTGATTTATAAAGTTAAAAAGCTTGTCATAAAAGTTTTGATTGTTAAACTAACAAAGTTCTTTTATAGATTATTATTATTACCTCTTAATACAAAGGATAGTGCTAAATCTAGCAGTTCTTTAAAAAGATTTTCCTGTTCTGATTTAATTCTATTATAGCATAATACTTCGCTCTATACAATGTCTAGTATGATTAATTTGATTTGTGATTAAGAAGGTTTATTTTATCTGTTGGCTTCCTGTATAAAGTACTTTAGATACATCCATTTCTGTCTTTTCGAGTGACAAGCCCAAAAAATTAATCTATACAAAGTCCTATTATAGATAATATAAATATATTATATAGCTTTGTTTGGGATATGTTTTCTTAAAAAATAGTGTTGGATAAGGTGAATTCTTAGGGGCAGCTAGTTTGTTCCAGAGTAACATTAACTAAGAACATATTCCTAGACTTGACCTCCTAAGCACCATTTTGTTAAAACTCTTATTTGGGAAAGTGGTAAACCTCAGGTATTTTTTGTTATCATAGTTAAATTTTAACTTTATATGAAAAATTTTCCATTTTTCATATAAAGTTAAATATTTTTTTAAAATACTTTTTAAAATGTTATATCAACTTGTTTAACTATTAGTAATAGTCAATATAACATATAATTATGTTATATTGTTATAACAAACTTACTTGTTGTAATAATAACAGAGTATTTACAATTAAAATTTAAGTTAAAAAACTTGTTAAATGATTGTTTTAGTACGTAATTTTGTAAATTTTTTTTTTTTTTTAAAGTTTTGTGCATTTTTATAATACCACCTGTTAACAAATAAAATAATAATAAAAATGTGCATAGTTTATAGATAAAAAACATTCTTTGTATTAATGTATATATTCTATCCGCATTTGATTATTTTAAAATGCTCTTAAAAATGTTTTTTAAAAATTTAGTTTAATTTTAAAAGAGTAGCATGATTATAAATAGTTATCCAAAATAAAAAATAAAAAAATTTCATTAAAAAAACAATGTCTTGACTATTGTTTTGTTAATGATTTTTTTTTAATTTTTTACGTTAACTTCATACACAGATTGGTTGTGGTTCCAATCTCACCTTCTCACTGAATGTGAAGAGATGTATATCATTCAAAAACATACAACAAAATTATTTTTTATGTCAAAAAAAAAAAAATTGTTACAAAGCAAATATATGAACAGCGGAATGTAAAATTAAAGCACTTATAAAAATGGATAGCAGTGATATTTGAAGCATGGAGGTTCTGTGTATAAAATAAGCTAAATTTGGGTATATTAATGAGCAAATAAATCTAATTAAATAATTAAAAAAAGTTATACATAAAAATATAGGCATGTATTACATAGACATATTCATATAGGGACAATATACACTTGTTACATTAAAACTACACAAATATATTTTACAAACGCAATTTATATTTTCTCTTTTTTTTTTTGTTTTAAAAAAAAGAAATAAAATAAAGGAAAATTACTCTTTTTTAATGTCAACTTAAAACTTTTTATTTTTGCTTTGCCTCATCCAATTTCGTTGCTGAAAATAACACCCATCCTAAAGAAACAAAAATAAAAACTGTACACAAATTATTTAAATTATTATTATTTTTTTTATTTTTATTTTCTATTTTGTTAGTTTTATTTTCTTTATTTTTGAAACTTAATTTTTTTCACAAGACTGATAATAAAACTTGCTAACAGCTGTGACTAAGTTGTCTAAAATAAAATACTCAACGCAGAGATACAAAATGAAAAATCACACTCGTTTCATGGGAAGGCTTGCGTATGGTAGTACGAAAACTAGTTTTTAATAATGCTTTCAGTTCAGTTGAGGTTATGAATTTTAATCTTATATGATGCAACTTAATGAAACAATTTTGAAAACAGAACTATAATAAAATAAGTTTTAAAAATAAAGCAATTGTTACAAGTTAGGAGTGTGTTTAATGTTTTTTAATTTGTCTATTTTTATTATTTGAGAAAATAAGTGTTTGAGAAATTAAGTGTTTGAGAAAATATGTGTTTAAGAAAATAAGTATTTGAGAAAATAAGTGTTTGAGAAATTAAGTGTTTGAGAAAATAAAGTTTTAAGAAAATAAGTATAAAAAAGAGATCAAACTGATCATACTATTTTTTGGATCACTGATTGAAAAATTTAAATAAAACCCTAACTGATAGGAATATTTAAAAAATAAAAACACCAGAAGAAAAAGATCTCTATTCAAATAAAATCAAAATAAAATCCAAGTCATTTTATTTTAAGAGTCGTAAATATTTACTTTTTTTCTTTTATTTGCTATCATAATAATTCGGTAACCATAATTCATTTAAAAATCATTTTACCCCTATCTTGTATAAAATTTAACTTTAATACCGATTACATAATTTTTGTTTTTGTTTTATAATTAAGAAAAATTAATATTAATTTTTTTTTGGTAAAACCAATCATTCACATATTTACTTTAAATTCCATTATTAAGTAATATGTGAATTTTTAAAGGTACCTATGTAAATTATTAGATTTTCTCATGTCTGGGTTCTTCCTATATAAAGTTATTTTACAAAAATGACTTAGTGATATTTATTAATTATTCACTTTTAAGACAACAAGTAAAAAGTCATACAATAAAGAAGATATAGAAGCTACATTAAATGGTATTAAATAAAAAAACATTTCAATCAGAAAAGCTGCATTCAAATATGTCAACCCATTCTTAACTGTAATAGGTTGCAAGAACAACAACAATACTAGCTTCAAGGGATCAGGATCAACAACCGTACTCTCACGGCAAACAGAGTCAATGATGGTGCATGTGTTTAAGTTCCTATGTGGTTGGGGTTATGGTTTAACACGAAATGATGTCATGGACTTTGTATGTAATTATTTTCTTTGTACAAATTAATCAGGCCTATTTAAAAGCGGCATACCCAGCAAATACTGGTTTTATGCATTTATGAACCAATGGTCTAAAGAAATTTTCACAAAAAAAAACTCACAATTTAGCATCTGGCAAAGTTGCTTTTTGTACGCATGAATTAATTGATAATTATTTTGAAGTTGTCACTAAACAATATCAATCGTCTGGTCTAAACAATATCACTAAACAATATCAATTGTCTGGTTGTCACATATAGAATTGTGAGAATAAAATGAGTTTCTGTGGTTAGCAGACAAAGCCAAGCAACTGAAGTTTGTTTAAATCTTATTTTATATAATATTGTATTTTTAAAATTACTTTTAACAATCAAAAGATCCATTATACAGTGAACAATTCCTGTAATGCTGATGAATACTTTACACCACCATTTGTGTTATATAAAGCAAAATAAAACTTTAGAGCTGAGTGGACTTTAGGTGGTCCGACTAACACTAAATATTCAATATCTAATTCTGTTTGGATGGAGCATGACACATTTATTAAATGGTTGAAAGAAGTGTATATACCAGAATGTCAAGTTATTAATGGTATTCATATTTTACATCTTGATGGAAATACATTTGGATAAAGATGGAAAACAATATAGATTTGATTATCTGCCAGCCCACTCATCTCACATTCTTCAGCCACTGGACAGTGATGTCTATTTCTATGTTAAGCAAATGTGGAAGGCAGTTCTTACGAATTATTACAAAGCAACAAAATGTAAAACCTTTGATAAAGAAAGTTTTCCTAAAAAAAAAACTTAAAAATAAAACTTTTTATGGTCATAATTTTCGAAAAATAAGAGATTATTGCATGAAATTTGAAATTTGTTGATGAATATAAACTTAGATAAAAATACTAAAGAAATTATTTTATCAACTTGTTGCTCCCGCATTAAGGGCTGGGTGTGCCCAAAAATTGGGTTTTTTTTTGTCCCCAAGCTCCAATCATCGCACCTCTTAGCAAAACATTCTCATTTGACATAAGCATGAACATACAAAAGTTTGGAGTTTGCACAATGCCTGTATGTGTCAAAACTCAAACATCTAAAAATTCAGTGTATACCACTGCTATATAAAAATATATAAAAATATATACATTAAGATATATAAAATGTTAAATTTTATTTTTTTAAAAAAAAACATTTTATATTTAAGTTTTAACAAAATTTCAGCTAAATCTTTTTTTTTTTTTTTTTCATTTTTTCAAACACAATTTAAATAAATAATAATAAATAATGTGCTTTTTGGTTTTTTCTATTTTATTCAAAAAAACAGTTTAAATATTTAAAAAAATAATAAAGTTATTCGATTTTTATTGCTCGGTGAACAGTTTGACCTGCTTTTACTGCTTTATAATGTTTATAAAACTATAGTTTTAAATTTCTTGTATTTGAATGTCTGAAATTTAAAGCTTGTTTACAAAATGTATGTAGTATGTAAATAATAGTATAATAGTATGTCAATAATATGTAAAATAATTTAATAATATAATTAAAATGTAAAATTTAAAAAAATCAGTGCTGGTTTCTTACAGATCATTAGTTGAAATATAATAAGATTTAGAAATTTATAGATATTTATAAAAATAATTTTATTTATTTATTTCTTATTGAGGAATGTAAAGAAATAATTCAACATAGATGTAAACAAGGAGAAAGAGGGCCAAAAGGTGATGTTGGTCCTCAAGGGCCAAAAGGAGATAGAGGAGAAAAAGGATTTAGTCTTATTGAACCGCAGTCAGAACTAATAGACTTAGATAAAACTGTTCTTATTTCTGAAAATAATACATTGTTTTGCAAATTTTTTGGGAATCCCATTCCATCTGTTGAATGGATTTTAAATGGAACGAACAAAGAAGTTAAAACTGAAGTTTATGAAAGTTCTTCTGTAGTGATTAGCTATTTGACAATATCAAATATCAACTTTCAAAATCATGGTAATGTTTCTTGTATAGGAAAAAGTTTTCTGGGTCAAGTAGAAAAGACTGGTTTTTTTAATGTTCACAGTAGGTTTTTTTATTTTTTTGTTAACAGTAGGTTATTTTGTTTTTTTAATATTTACAGTAGATTGTTTTGTTTTTTTAATGTTCACAGTATGTTGTTTTGTTTTTTTCAAGAGAGGACATTTATTAGTTTTTGTAATTTTTTCCCACCAACCCTATGGTTGTTAATTTTAACTTGTTATTAACAAAAAACAAAATCTCCAAATGACAATATATATATATATATATATATATATATATATATATATATATATATATATATATATATATATATATATATATATATATATATATATATATATATATATATATATATATATATATATATATATATATATATATATATATATATATATATATATATATATATATAGTCTTGGCCAAAATGGATAGAACACTTGCAAAAAAATGCACTTTTTGTGTTTTTATATGTTTGTTTTAATCACATAGTATGAGTGAGTTCAAAAACAAAAAAGGACAAGAAAGAGTCAATTACTACTTATTTACATAACAGGAAATGTCAATACTTTGTATATTTTTCCTTATTTTTTAGCACAGCAGCTATTTTGTGCGGCATTGATAAACACAGCTTTTCAAAGTAACTCACAGTAATTTCAGTGGCCTAAACTGCTTTCACAGTTTCCCACAATTCCGCCAGAGATGTAGGAATTTTAACAGCCACTTTCACCTTCAAAACACCCCAACAGTTCTTAATAGGGTTGAGGTCTGGCGAGTTGCTAGGCCACGGCCCAAGAATGTTGGTTCCTTATTGTTGTAGCCAAGCCTTGATGGTTGCAGCTTGATGGCAGTGTGCGCCATTATGTTGGAAATAGTTGCATTGATGTATAGGCATGAAAATAGGCAATTTATTCTTTAGTATGCTAAGGTATATCTTAGCATTAACTAATTTATATACATTCATACATACATGCATACATACATACATACATACATACATACATACATACATACATACATACATACATACATACATACATCTGAAAGATCGTTAATGTAACTTAAAAAGAGTATACGGCCAAGGATTGAACCTTAAAGAACCCCTGAGGTTACAGAATAAGAAGAGTGCTTTCCATCAATTACAACTTTTATACTATGACTGAAAAGGAAGGATTCATTAATCTTAAAGATGTTTCCAGATATTCTGTAAGAAGAAAGTTTATGGAGAAGATCAGTATGCCAAACTTTATCAAATGCTTTAGAAATGTCAAGAGCGATGACCTTAACCTCTCCACCTTTATCTAATGCACAATAAAACCTATCGGTTATTACTGTTAGTAAATCAGCCATAGAACGAGAAGATCGAAATCCATATTGATGATCAGAAAGTAAGTTATTAGATTCAAGATGTGAGATAAAGTGTTTGTTAATTAAAGTTCAAAAACCTTGCTTATGATAGGTAGAAGACTAATGGGATGGTAGTTAGGCGAATCAGATCGCTCTCCAGAATTTTAAAAAATAGATGCTGTTTTCCAGCAGGCTGGAAAAAAAGACTCTGATAAGCATTTGTTGAATAGTTTTGAAAGGATAGACAACAGCTCTGGAGAACACTTCTGCAAGACTATAATAGGTATGTTGTCGAGGCCACAAGCTGTAGAAGAGTCAAAGCAGGAAATCATTTTAAATACAGAAGCTGGAGTGATACGAATGTCAAGCAATTGATCAACCTGTTTGACAGCTATATCAGGTAGAATGCAACTAGTAAAATTAAGAGATCATTTTGATGAAAAGTTCTTAGCAAACAATTCAGCTTTGTCTTTAGGTGAGGTGACAAAGTCTGAACGATACAAAAGAGGTGGAATTACAAAGATTCTCCAGAAGTCACGAGAGCCTAAATTTTGTGATGAAATAGAGATTTCATGACCTGAGAATAGTGGGCTTTTGCATTAGACAAAACCTTTTTACAATGGTTCCTAACAGTAATAAACAGACGTCTGTTTTCTGGAGAATTGTTTTGCTGATAAATATGGAAGTAATGGTTTCGATTGGCAATCGCTGCAGCGCAATTTGAGGAAAACCATGAGGCTTGACCTGGAATTGTTGTGGTCTTCGTAGTAACTTTTCCCGACAGAAGAAAAGTTACTACGACGACCATGAATATTAGTGAATGATAGGTTTAGCAAACTTGTTGATGACATTTTTTGTTACTTTTTCGTTTTTAAATTTGTTAAAGAACTTTACTCGAAACATAGATAGTACTCAGTACATTGTTTAATAGCCTAAGCAATTGCCTCATTACTAATAAAACCTGACTACCCAGCCGGCCTCAGGACCATAAAACTGAGTTTTAGAGCTGTACCCTCATTAGGAGATGATAGAATGAGTTGCCTAGTCATAAAAACAGAGACACAAGCAAAACCCATACATCGAATCAAGAAGATCCAGCATTCAACATCCTAAACTGGAAACAATGTATTAAAAATACATCTCTTCCAGCCTAATAGATGAAGAAGGAATGCGAGGCTGGTCAACAGATAGAATCTGTTTACCCCTTAAGTCTTTGCCTAGGAAGCCTTCTACAAGATAGCAGCCGGATGCATTTAACATCTGCCCAAGATGAGTATTTTTATTGAGACACCATCTCTAGCCTTTACTCAACCAAGGCAGGGGGTGTTTAATGTCAGAGTTGGCATCTCCTAGCCTTTGCCTTAAAAGGCGTATCCTACAAGGCAGTAGGATATGAAGCAGATTTTACTGGGTTACATGTTACCAGTGGCAGGATAAACCTGACCTGACACCCTTATGTGTAGACCTGGACCTTTTCCTACTTTACCAGTATACATTGAAGAAGCTTGTGAGACATATATTGAAATTTGAAACTTATTTAAATGGCAAGAAGAGGATTTCCTTTAAAAATATTAGATTTATTATTAATAATTTCAGAAATAATACATAAAAGCTTGCATCCTGCTTTATTTAAAAATGGAATCCTTTCTAGAACTTAATCATACAGATATCTAGACAGGCACTCTGAATTAAAGTCTAAAACATCAAAGCATCACTCTTTAGGTAGATCTAGTGTCACCAAAAGTCTTTATTAGCATGGTCAACTTAAAAATAATTTATGGAAGTAAAATAATTTATGGAAGATAAAGAATTAAGTCATGTGTTTCAGTTATCAGAACGTATTTTTAATTTAGATGAGACTGCTTTTTATTAAAATTCAAACAGAGATAAATTTATTTGTAGAAAGCATGAATATTTGCAACAGATTTGCACTACTAGTGAAAAATAAATGTCACAGTTGCAATTAACTTTTTGGCAGTAGGAGAAATGGCTCCTCCTATGGTAATTTTAAAAAGGCAGAAACTGTCTAAGCATTTGCAGCAATGTGTTTCACTTGGAATGATAGTCCAGAGGAGTTCTAGTGGATGAATGAAGGGTAAGACTTTATCATTTGAAAAAATTTAAATGATATTTTGTTGGTTAATAAGAGTTTAAAGAATATTTAGGCTTGCTTAACATAAAAGACAATTATCAGAAAATCGTACTTTTTGTTGGTGGTCATTCCACTCGCCTGAGCTATGATACATCTAACTATTGTGTAGAGACAGGTTTCGTACTATACTGCTTGTACCCAAATGCCACACTTGTACAGCAACCAGCTGATGTCGGTGTAATAAACTCACTTTAAGACTACTGGGCACCTGAAGTGCAGATTTACAGTATGAGCCACCCAGAAGCTGTCATTACAAATGACAAGTTTCCTGCCATGGCAATGAAAACTATTGTTCAAATAACTGTTCCAGTCATGAAAAAAGCATGAGTGCTGTGGTTTATTTAGTTCCCATTTAACTCAGATAAAGTTAATTTTAAAAAGGTGGTCTCAACTTATTAACAAGCTCCTTAGCCCATTTTTACATTTGATGTTGCTAAGTAATTGGCATTAGAAGGTTTTGAGAAAAACTTGACAGAAATTGAACTTAAGCAGTTTAAAATATGGAACAAAGGCAATACTAACAATTTGCAACACTGGTGCAAGCTTTATGAAGTATGGAGAGATATGGTTGCAGAGGTAAAATTATCACCAAACATATTCGATAGCTCAGGTATAAATTTCTAAAGTATATTAGCTATCTTATTACTATTTTTAATTCATTTAAATAAAGTATTGATGCTGGCTTGGGAGAGCAATTCAATAAACTTCTAATTTTAATACAAGATATATTTTTTATAATAATGCAGCAAAGTAAAATGCTTTTAGTATTTCTAATATTGTGCCAACTTTGAGATGGTTTCATTCACTGGAAGGGTTTATGTACACAAATTACTATTAAAAATAATGTTAAGGTGCCAATAACTGTCACAACCATACTTAAAAATATAAGATAGAGTCGTTTTTTTTTTATAAAAACCCTTGTCTTTAACAAAATGGGGGTTTTAGGTATATTTTTGCAAATATTTTTTTTAATAAAATTTTTTTTAATTAAAATTATTATTTATAAAACAAGCATTTTTTTCTGCTTTTTTTTAAATCCAAGGTTGATATGGTTTAGAAAAAATAAATTAAAAAAATTTTAGGACCCCTCAAAAATTTAAAATCCAAAGAGGAACTTAAAGATCTCATTAAAATTGAAAAAGATCAAAACTTAAAGATCTTATTAAAATGTACATGTATGTATATATATGGTTATAGGCCCATGAAGCAGTCATGACGCAGTAATGTGTAATATAATACAATTACATAGGTCACTGATTCCGTAATGCTGTAATTACTCATTGTAATTACGCAGTTAGTTATAATAATAAAATAAATTATTTTCATGTGCTTCAACTTATTAATAAATTAGTTTAGACATCATAAAATATTTTAATAACATAATTAAAAAATAATTTTAAGTAAATATTTATTTAATTACAAATAAAGAAAAAGTTATATATTTGTATGATTTCAAATGAATATAATTAATCTTAATTCTGAATAATTTATTTTTTAACAGTTTTTATAATATTAATCTCAAAATAAATAAAGTTTATATATATTAATGGTTGCTAAAAACTATATATGTATATTTATATATAATTTTGCAAATCTTGATAACCAGTCTGATGTCATAACGTAACATGCATACATTGACTTACTAAATAGTAAAAACTAAAAAATGCAGTTTTTTTTTGCAATATATGAAAATAAATATTTTGTAAAAAAGTATTAAAATAGTATTTTAATTTTTTTTTGTTTTGTTTTCCAACTTTCAGTAAAACCTTCAGTCTCTTTTTCTTCCTCAATAATTTATGTTTACTTGGCATCAAATGCAACATTTCCAACATGTAATGTTATTACTAATCCTGCTGCTAAAATATTATGGAAAAAAGGTTTGGAGAACTACCAGCTACAAGATCAGTTCAATCAGGTTTTGGTGATTTCATGATTATGGATGTTCAAGTAGAAGACGAAGGCTTCTATGTTTGTTTAGCAGAAAATTATTTAGGTAAGCTAATCCTTAAAAGGAAAATTTTTAGAATAAAAGTTTAACTTTTTTAACTTCAATATTTCAATTTTGCATTTTCTTTGAATGTAACAATCTGATTAATTACTGTCTCACCTGTACCATTGTGCAAACTATTTTCCTTCCACCACCTGTGTAATCTTTAACAATCTTCCAGTCGCTCTTTGTGAGACGTTTATTATGTCTATTATTACATCTTTTAGATATCTTGAATATGTCTTCTGCTTACTGGGTTCATTATTTTTTGCAGAGTGTTTAAAAATATTTTGTTAAAAAATCTCTTGTAACTAATAATTGTCTAGTCTGATACTAATGATTGATATTTTTTTATAAATGTCAATCATCCATTAAGAGCACTAGTTGTCCAGTACCTCAGTTTTTCAACAGTAATATTTACTAAGGCCAGAAAACCTTTAACCTATAAGTTAAAACAGCCTTTTCTTGTTTTCTTAAATGCAAATATTTCTCTTAAAGCAAGTCTAGTATCTTTAATGCAATAATATTCTTCTATCTTTATTAGTAAATTGTTATTTTTATTTATAACATAATAAGTATTATTATTGCTTTTTTTAATTTTTTCTTAAGTTTATTTACTACTTATACTATGTAATTGTTTTTATCACTATTATTGCTATTATCTAATATTGATTGTATAATATCTTTATTATTATTGTTAGTTTTGTTACTAATAATATTCCTCTTTATCGTCATCTTATTATTATAGTTAATATTATTTCTATAATTATTATCAATACTATTATTATTGTTATTATGATCACTTTTATTGTAATGTTGCAGGTTTTTACTTTAGATTAGTACTTGTACTATTTGTAAAAGTCCTTGAAATTTTACAACTTATTTCAGAATATATTGAATTGAATTGAATTAAAAAAAAGATATAATAGTAAAGATCTATAAATTATATCGAAACTGGCTTTACAGTATTGAGATAAATTTATTACACTTAATACTTTTATTTTGTACAAAAAAGTGACTCATTTTTACTAAATTAGTTTTACTAATTTAATAATTAGTTTTACTAATTTAATAATTAGTTTTACTAATTTAATAATTAGTTTTACTAATTTAATAATTAGTTTTACTAATTTAATAATTAACTAATAAATGCAATAACGGTACAACCTATTAGAGTAATATACATTGCACTTTATTTTAACTTTATGGTCTCTTTTACATTTTAAAATAAAGAATTTTACCTTCTATTATTTGCTTGAAATTGATTTTTCAACCAAACATGTATGTTATTTTGTTTTCAATTTAATTCAATTGTTTGCCCAAGGATTTTTTTTGTTTTTTTGTTTAGTAATAGTACTAATTCCTAATGTTTCTATTGTTCCTATTGTTTTTTATACTGTTATTAACTCTTCTTGTTTCTGTAGATATTAAATTAGAGAATTCTAAGTGTAAAAACAATCCACTTTTAACGATATACAAAGTATATCATTAAAAAACAATTTAAAATTTTAAGTTGGTACACATTTGTTAGCCAAGTTTATTAGCTAAATTTATTTGACCACTAATATTTACTAAAAAGGGGGAAAAAAATTGTAGTTTCTTTGTTTTATAAAATATTAATAATTATTTTAAGTCTTATATTTTGTTCTTAAAATGGTTAAATTGTGCTTGTGTTTTATGCTTCAATAATTTTAAATTAAAAAATTTAAATGATCTACTCAAATAACACATGTTTACCAGGATCAGAAAGTGTACAAATGTATATATGTATATATATACATATTTTTATTTTTTTATTTTCTTCCTCTTATATCTAATCCTTTAATCTATTATTTCTTTGATAATTATTTATAAGATATTTCTTGCAACTTCACAACATTTTGATGTATTGTTCTCTAGCTGGTCAGATTGTAAAACACCACCATCTATACACTCAATTTGTATCTATACATTTTAAAAGTTTAATTGTTGAACTTGTATATATTCTCCTTTTATAATTTTTATAATTAAAATCATATCTGATTTGTATTTTTGTTTTAGCATACAAGGATTTTTGTATGAATAATAAATAATTATTTTTGCTAGTGAGTTTTTTTTTTTATATTAGTCAATATATATATGTGTATAGCATCTATACACTCAATTTGTAGCTGGCATTAAACATAACATAATGCAAAATTTGCTAATGTTGTTAGTGGCCCGACACAACATGCTGCTTGAGTTATCACGTCTAATAAAGTTCCTGATAAAGTTATTTTATCAGGGCTACAAACGTATTTATTGTTAATTAGGCTATTGTTCAACATTTTTCAAAATGAGAGAAGTTTTAAAATAATTTACCTTTTCTAATATTTTCTAAATAACCTAGGCCTTGTATTACATGTTACAACTATCTTCTTTTTTTTAAAATTGTTATTTCAATTTTTCATCAATTAGTGGTAAATCTTTTTCAAAATAGTTTTGATCTGGATCTGCCGATAATTTAATGTTAAGAAATGGAATCCTTTTTTTGATTGACACTAGTTTTATAACTGTTCTGAGCGAAATAGAGCCAAAATCTTTTTTTTTTTGTACTGGATAAATTGATAAAAAAGTAAAACAACTATCAAAAAAGTTTTTGACACCAGCATAAGCATAGAAGAGGTCATTATTCAGTTTTACGTTCTAAGTTTATTATATTATTTTAGGGAGTTATCTAGTTAAAAAAAAATTGAAATCCGTGCTCTTTAAAGGTGTAAGGTTTATTAAATAATTTTCAATATTAGCTATAATTTAACTAAAATTTATAATAGAGTTGAATATATATCTTAATATCTTACCTTAAAGTGGTTGTTTGGACATTAATGAGTGTTAAAAAAATCAAATAATTTTGTCCACCTGCCTTAAATAGTGCAAAATATGCAATGTGTATTTGTGCTATATATGCAAAATATGCATATGTGCTAGCAAATAATGAGTTTTAGCACAAAACTTATTTATTTACTGCTAATAATTTTGTTGATATTTCTGATGTTGCCATACCAACAGTATAATGTTGCCATAAGGAATATTTAAAATATTGAAACTCTTACTGAATCATCTACTTTATGTCTTTATTGACTACTGATATCTCATATATACAATCCATCGCGAAGTTAGCATCTGCTATGGTTGCTTCTCCTTATCTTGCTGTTTGTTTACTCTTGATTCCATTCTCTATATCTAAAAATCTCTTTATGGAATACTTTTGTCACATTCGGGCTGGTTCTTGTAATGCGGCTTTATCTCCTTTAGAGAAGGTTCAAAAACGTATAGTAAATATTGTTGTTGTAAATGTTGTTCTAAATGTTGTAAATTTGGTTGTTGTAAATTTTTTTGTTGTAAATGATGTTGTAAATATATAGTTGTAAATGTTGTTGTAAATCTTGTTGTTGTAAATGTTGTTTTTGTAAATGTTGTTGTTGTAAATGTTGTTGTTTTTAATATTGTTGTTTTTAATGTTGTTGTTGTAAATATTTTTGGAACTGCTTTAGTTGCAAAGCTAAAGCAGTTATAGTAACAGTTGTAGATTTTCTACAAAATCTACAACTGCTTTTATAACTTGTTCCATTATGCGAGCTATTATCACTTGTCCTTTCAATCAAAACTAAATGTTGCATGAATCATCATTTACTCTTCTATTCTTTCTAGTTTTTTTCTCTTCATCAGTGTTCCTAATTCCTTACCATATTTGTTTTTTTTCTTAATTTAAAATCTTATTTTCATCTTTGTTTTTAACTTAATTTAAAATCTTATTTTAAATACTTTCTTGCTTTTTAACTCACTCAATTTGTTTTCTGTTAAATTTCAGCTTAATTAGCGGTTGCTTGCAGGTGTATTGGGTATGAATTTGTTTAAAAAAAATACATTTAGTATCTACAAAAACATAAGGGCTATTAAGCATAGTATCTATGATTCTTTTAGACAAATGTGGTTTGCTAATTGTTTTCATACTGGTTTTTCTGTTGCTTACTATGCTTTATTTTATTTTTTTTGCTTTATTTTTAAGTGAATTATGAGTCATAAAATAGTTAACGTTAATTGCTAAGTAATATTTATTTTGAAATATTTTAAGAGAAGCAATTTAAATTTTAAGGTTCAGCTTCAGGCATAGTTCAGTTGAAAACAAAACCATTAGAAATTACTTATGGACCTCCAGCAGAATCTATTGTTTTTAGCTTCCCCATTACACTTTGGTGTGGTTCATTTGGACAAACAGACCAAATGTCTGGAAACTGGCGATATTTAGTTACTGGTGAAGCTATTGAGCATACAGAAATAAAGAGCAAAAGTTTTCATAATATTACAATACAAGTAACTAATAGTGGTATATACTCATGTAAATTTACTGACGGTACATCAACAGTTTAAAGAGTTTCTATAATACGATGTTTTATATGTAAGTTTTTTTTATACATTAATCAGTATGAAAATTACTTTCTTTTATTTACATAATAATTAACCAACTCTAACGCTCCACTTATATTTTTTTGTTTTTTTATTTTTATATTTTGCTACTTTGAACTCATGCGTATTTTTTTAGTACACTTAAGCTCTCTCTCAACCTGCTAACTCCAAAACACGAACTTTAATAACTAAGGCCGCTATACAGAAAAAAAGTTGATCGTGGTACTTTTTGAGTTAATTTGAACCTTGAATTTTTCGATTGTGAGCCTAGTGTTCTTTTACTAGTTTGCTACCCCCTCAGCTTGTATAAAGTTACTACCCCCCTCAGCTTGTATATTTGAGGAGCAAACATGCAAATAGTGTTTTCTCACAAAAATAAAAATAATAATTTATGATAGTAAATAGTTTCGCTTTTATAAATTTCATAATATAATTTTCATTTATAACATGTTATCTTCAATATATCTAAATAAAATAAAATCGAGGTAAAATGCAAACACTTTTTTTGTGACAAATCACTTTTTGAATGAAATGCGTTCAAATTTTGAGGTTATGTTGTTGTTTTTGTTGTCAGTTGTAGCGCTTTATAGTGGTGTTTGATAATTTTGTCGTTATGGTGATTTTGTAATATTAAATTGAAAAAATAATTAGTGATGTCGGAAATGAGAAAGATACAAGTCTTGTGGGTGATGCAAATGTGTGAAAAAGTGGAAAAAGGGCTAAAGATAAAAAAAAAAAAGATATTCGACTCCCCCCAGGGTCAAACATCTATAAACCTTGCAACCACAATTCATCAAACAATCGTTTTTCATGTAATTAAATAACACCATCATTTGTGAAGAACATAAGGGATAATTTTTATAAAGAGGTAAAGAAGCAGAGACAAAATAACATTATTGCCAATATGTTAAAAGTTACAAGTACTATCAGAAAAAGGCAGCCTTGACCCACAGCCCAAAAACAAAAGGAAGGAGGCTCACACAATTTCAAAGAAAAACATTTTTTTAAATCTGACCAGTTACTATGCTTGCATGTTTGTAAAAACCTATTCCTCAGTGTAATGACAATAGGTCGTACGAGATTGCAAAATATTAACAAGAGAGTAGAAGGTAAACGATATGGAGACAGAACAATCCATAAGTCCATTGAAAAGAAAGCTTTTGTGAGAGCATTCATAAGTCAACTGCGGGGTACGGAAAGCCATTATAATAAGAATAAATCAAGGAGAATTTATTTGCGATGTGATTTTAGTATCAAAAAAATTAAGCACTCTATACAATGTAAAAACCTGTAAAAACAAAAAGAAGGTCCATTTTGCAATTTTCAGAAGAATTTTTGTGAATGAATTTAACATTTTAATTCTCTAGCTTCTGATGTGTGCAATTACAGCACTTATTTGAACATACAAATAAAAAAATTCTGTTGAAGGCTCCAGTGAACGTAATAGTTATATCACTCAAAAAAAGCTTCGCAAGAAACGAGCTAATGCGTTTTATACACTTTTGAAAGCAGACATACCAATTGCTTTAAGTTTTTGTTTCGATATGCCACAAATCTAGCCCTTGCCAAAAGCTTTCGTTCAAGAGGCATTTTATTTAAGACAAACAAATTTTTATAATTTATGTATTACTGATCTTAGCTGTACTAAGCCATTATTCTATACCTGGACAGAAGAACAAGCAGACAAAGGCATTTTTTACAGAATACCGATTTTCAATCGAAGAAGTTACTACGCTTTTTTTTGTGACGGATATTTTCTCAAAACAAAATTAACATTGCATTGAAAACAGTAATATGTTTTCTTCAGATTCAACCCAATAGTTCTACAAGTATAAACGAGATTTAGTTTTATTTTCCTGTTCGTAATCATAGTTTTTTACCGGTGGATAGAATTTTTGGTAGGGTGGAAAAAAAGCTAAGAAAATGTGAAATTATTTTATCCAAAGATGACTATTATAACATTTACTCAGAAGTATATTTACATAGGTCAAGTAAGAAAATGTGACATCGACTGGGATTTAAAAGACGCAAAATCACTGCAGAAATATTATAAGAATCTACCCATGATAAGTGATGTAAAACGAATCAATATTATCAAGAAAAAGAAAGACAACCAAAACTCGATCAAATTTAAAGCAATGCAAAAATATTTTTGATTCAGATGCTGATAAGTTTCTTTTGCTAACTAAACGAAATAATAACGGAAATTTGAAAAACTTAACACTCGAGAGTGTGCCTTCAAGCCATTTTATCACTGCGGAGAAAAAATAAAGATATCAAAAAACTTTTGAGCATCATGTTTTGGAATGAATGGCAAGACTTGGAAGATAAACGTTTTGATTTTTATAAACACATTCTTGGACTATCAATATCACCTGAAAAAAAACTGGAAGAAGAACTGTGTGATTGCCTAGAATAGGAAATATCTGTTAGAAAATGAAACTTTTTTAAATAAAAAAATGTTTTTTGAATGTTATTATTTATATTCATTCATATCAAATTTGTCCATGAAAGTTACATTCAAAAAAAGTTTCGTCCTACAGATCCAAGCAAAATGAGTTTTATTTAATTTTTTCATGAAAATTTACATAATAGAGTTTCTGATAAATGCTTCCATTTACTAAATCAATAAACATGAAGTTTATTTAAAAAGAAATACATATTAATAAAAACAAAATAAATATTAGTAAAGTAAAAACTAGTAATGAGTTTTTTCTATTTTACCACACATTTGATACGGTGGACAAAAAAAAATTTGCATGTTTGCTCCTCAATTTAAATTTTGCTTACTGTTTGGCATTAAATAAATGAATTATTTTACTTTATAATAATGAAATCTTTTTTTACTTTACTGTACTATTAAAAGTATATTATTTTCATAATTCATAATAAACAATATAATATTAAAATATAACAGCATTAGTTGTTTCTTAACATTTAGTGTCTTCAAACATTATAACTACTATAGAAGCAAATAAAAAAATTTATGATTGGTTAAAAAAATTGACATTCCAACTTACAAGATTTCTCGATGCATGCAAGTTAGTAGAGTATTTGATTATGATCCCAATAGGATTTGGAAACTTTTTGAACCATGCTATTCTATAAAAAATTCTTTGCTAGTTGTCAAAATGGTAGGAGCTGAAAGTTGGATTTTAGGGGGGTTTGTAGATACTCCTTGGAGTCGTAAGTGCAAAAATCTTTTTATTATTATAGTTTTATTTGTTTAATTAAGTCAAAATTTTCTTTAACAAGCATATCAAAGTTTTGTATAATAATAACTTAAATTTTGAATAATGTCTAGCGTAATGGTGCAGCAGTGTTTTCAAAGTTAACTTATAAGTACATAGACTCAGAATTCAATTTTTTTAAACTCAGATGCACAAGATTCAAAAAGCGACAAGTCATTTGTGTTTACTACTTATCGAGATAATGTATTGAAGATCAAAGATCTTGGTAACAAGCAAATTTGCTCAAAAACTCAAAGATATGGAAGAATATATCCTTGTTTTGGTTCAGAAGAGGTTGTCTTTGAACACCAGTATCAAAGACTAAATATCAATGATTATTCACTAAAAATCAGAAGTTTTCTTTTATTAGGCTCAGATATGCCAATAAAGGTTCAAGAAATGGAAGTCTTTTATTTTACGTAAAAAACTGTTTCTTGGTTAAATTTTTTGGTTCGTCACCTTGTAATTACTATTTAAGTATACAGTGGTGTTATAAATATTAAAATCACCAATTTAAAAAGGAATAAAACAATTGCTTCAAACAAAATAGTTTGTAAATTCTTTAAAAAATTTTAAAATGATATTGTTGATGCATATTTTGGTTTAAAAAACTCCTCAACACGTTTTAGCGTTCCATTTTTTAATTATAGGCTTGTTCATTGATCATGTGTTCATTCATTGATTAATGCCAGAACCGATTAGACTTTGCAAGTTTGTTTAACTTCTAAAGTTCTTAGTATGTCAAATACCAATATGTTTTGAATTGGATATACATCTCATGAACTTCTTGGCCACAATGGAATGAAAAAAACAAGCACTTTTTATTAAAGTTGTCACCGATTTAGCTGTATTATAGGGGCCTGATCATGCTCAACAAAGTTGTTATCAATTTGTAACTCTACTTTTTAAAGATCTAGGTCGCGAGAAAGTATGAGTTAACTCAAATAAATGTATGCAATAAAGTAATGCTATTTAGTATGATTTGCTCTAAACAGCAGTTTAATGCTGGCGGTCTTCGACCTACTGGTGATGGCATTTTGATTAATCAGCAGTGTCTATTAACTTGTTCAGTAAAACATTTGATTGAATAAAAAAAAGCAATTTAAAAAACTGTTCCTGTGTTTTGTGGCAGTACAAATTGCTTACTACTGAAATTTACCTTTTCTCTGAAAAGTTACATTGAGGTTGAAAAGTTAAAAGATTTAGTTTCGGCTTAATCTCTAAAGCTTCAGCTATAACAAGAGCATTGGTGCTGTCCTTAAAGGTTTTTATTACAAAGTATAAAGTCCATTCAAAATACATATAAAATAGTGTCTTTATGTTACTTGCTATACAAATGTTTACTCGCAGCCATTAAAACCTCTCAAGTAAGGATAAAATATGTTAAAATAGCCACCAAATCATATTGCATTTATTCTTTAAATTAAGAAATCAATACAATTTTTAGATGATTTTTATACTTTTAACACCACTGTACATATTATAACGTGCAAACAGAGATAAATGTGAATATATTTACTTTTAAAAAAAATGAAAAAATACTTGAAACAAACTATAGTTTGCTTCAAGTATTTTTTTTTTTCTCAATTTTGTAAGGTATTTTTATTACTTTATATATATATATATATATATATATATATATATATATATATATATATATATATATATATATATATATATATATATATATATATATATATATATATATATATATATGTATATATATATATATATATATATATATATA